GTTGAGCAGATCCTAAAGATACAAACAAGTTGTACTAAATGGCTCAGACTCAAAGTGGCTGAGACTCAGAAAGTACCTTCTCTTCCTATACTGACACTTTCCCCCAAATGAACTCGCACAAATGGGTGAGAGAGGGAATTTCTTATTACCAGGTAACTATGAAAAAAACATTCAGAATGGTTTCTAGGTGGCTATTATTATTCAGAGGTGGCCCTGAATAACAGTGGGAAATGGGGAGAATTTAAAGAACTAGCCCTGAAAGAACAGAGAAGCAGAGGTGTGGACTTACAATGACTTTAGGTAAGAGTTAAGAGTTTGGCTCCAAGGTTTAGGACATTGAAGTTTAATCTTGATTGTCAACCTAACTGGCTTAAGAAACCCTAAGAAAGTAGTAAGGCATACTTCTGGAATGCCTATAAGGGAATTTCCAGAGTCAACTGGCATGTGGGACAGCACACTGAGGTGAGAGACCTGAGTGTGTGTGGCACCAGCCAATAGGCTAGGGACAGAACAAAAGTGAAGGAGGAAGCTGCTAGCATAGGCTCTCTCACTCTCTCTCTGCTTCCCAATGGCCATGAGGTGAGCACTTCTGCCCTACCCTACCCTTCCACCATCGTGTTCTGCCTCATCACAGGTCTAAATAATCTAAAGCAAAGGTGCCAGCCAGTCTTGGACTGGAACCTCTGAAACTGTGATCCAAAATAAACTTTTCCTCTTGTAAGTTGATTTTCTCAGATATTTAGTCACAGCTATGCAAAGCTAACACAGACTCTGCTAGAACAAGATATGAAAAAGCCTGACAAGTCTAGAGAAGTGGTATACAGATAGACCTCTTCACATATGTTAACTATGAGAATGTGCCCACATGAATGCTCACCAAAGGGCATCTGCTACAGACAAGGCTTTAAATAATCAGGTAGAAATTATGATTCTCTTTGACATTCAGCTTGCCTTTTTGTTGTTGGAGGGTTTTCTGTTTTGTTTTGGTTTGGTTTTTTTGACTTTTTGAGACAAGGTCTCACTGTGTAGTCCAGGTTTGCCTTGAACTCACTATGTACCCCCAGGCTGGCCTCGAACTCATGCCAATCCTCCCACCTCAGCCTCCAGAGGGCTGGGATTAAAAGGCATGTGCTACCATGCCCTGTGCATTCACCTTTTTTTTGCTGTTGTTGCAGTCCTTGCCAGTGTCTCAATGACACAAGTTTTCTCTCACTAAGCCTGATCTGACTGTAGCCACTACTGAGAACCTCACAGAAGAGAGACCAATACAGGTTCCCCGATAAGGTTCCATTTCCCAAAGGAAACAGTTAGCTCCCTGATAACACTGTACCCTATCTACTATAGAAGAGGCTATGATTTGGACTGATTGCAATGGACTCCTAGTCTATATATGGATTTGCCTGTCCTGTCTGTAGTGCTTCTGCTAAAATCCTGGATTTTAGCATGCCTCATTCTCACATGGCAGCACTTCTAAAACACTTGCTTTGCAGACAAAATAATGAGAACATGGGTGACGCTCAGAGAACTGGTCCATATACCCAGAAATCCAAAACAGCTTGCCTGTGTGGACTGGCCTACTGAAAACTGCTTTATGGCACCTGCTAGAAGATACTATGTGGGCCCATGGACTTATTTTATAGGTTGCAATATATTTCCATATATGGTGCTATTTTTCTCATAGGTAGAATACACAGATCGAGGAACCAAAGGTGGTGGCAAAATGTTTGCTTCTTATCCCTGAAATACGGGGCTCTCCTGCTTTAGAGGTTTTTCTATTCCCAAAGAAACTGCTTTCACAAGGGAGCACAAGAATTTTACAGAATACGTTAAAAATCATAAAAAGAGTTTAAGTTCAGGAAAATTCATAGCAGCATTATTTTCTTTGTCATTGTTTTCAATTGCACAATAAAATTCAACTCAGATATCTTAACATCCGGAAGACTTATCACTCATTTGAACAATACACTTAATAGTCATAATTTTGGCAATTCACCAATAATCTAAATCTTCATAATATGTACTTGATGTGTCTTGTACTAAATTGTTTTCCTCCTTAGAAAATGGTCTTCAAATGACAGATAAAACTTGCAGAATGCAGAAAGGGCATTTAGCTTGTGGGTGGGGTGCATAGCAACAAAGAACTTTGTAAAAAAATATGATTCAAGAGAGTATAGGAGTCAGAGCAGGTGTTTCTATATTTATCAATTTGGAGATTCCCAAAGGTATCTGAATGTATTTGAATTTTACACCATCACTGAGCCCTAAACAACAGTAACTACTTTTAGAAGAAGTAATGGAAATTAGCAATTCTAATCCAAGCTAATCTTGGAAAGGAAGATTCAGAAGACAAAATTTTTTTTCACCTAAACTTATTTTAAAAATACATAAAATTAAAACTAAATATTAATATGTTTTTAAGAGATTTACTGTTTAATTATTACAAAGAACAGATATACTATACATATTTCACTTCAGCTGACTGCCAAGCTGACACTCAAAATATTGAATTCAACAAATACAAAGAAATACACATAGCCAAATAACAATAAAAGTAGGAATTTAATCAAGGCTCTCGGGCAGATAAGTGAAGACTAGCACAGCAAAACAAATATAATGGGAAAGGTTCACAGAACTATTTTTTAAAAATGAACAGAAATAAGTATCATATATTGACTTGATAATGAGGAAGATGTGGATATTTACAACTCCAGGCATTATTGTAAGTATTAAGACTCAAAGTGATCCTATGAGAGTTTATGATTTGGATTCTTATTTTATTAATAAGTGGAGGCAAGAGAGATTAAATAACTTGCCAACCAAGGTTACACACCTGTTAAATGCTGTAATAAGGATCTGGACCTAAATAGTCTTCAAAAATTATCCTTTAATCCACTGTGCTATCTGGACCACATAAGGGCTGAGAATAGGGTAAAAAGTGAGATACTTGTCTTGGTGTAAAATTAAGAAGGTATCAAAAAAAAAAGTGATCAAATATTTTAATGTATTTTAAAATAAGAATGTAAAAATTGCATGAACAAAATATCGAAATTTAAATGAAAAGAGGATTAAAATTACAAATGTTTCCTTTTGCATAGAGGTTATTGCTATGAGCTTTAGCACTGGTTCTACAACTGTCTTTGTTTAAACTTTTGCACCCAAGACAAAGGCCTCATTCACTCCATTTGTTAAACCCCAGCCTGGACCCCTATGAACAAAAAGTCCTCATTAAATTTTTCCTTTATGTTAAATTTTGAGCTCCAAACAATGATTGGCTAATTTTATCATATTAATAATTACATGAACTATTGCTATCTTTCTGAAACATGCATCAGGCAAAAGCATTCTATACTGCATGAATATTACTGGCTATAATAAATACTGAATATTCAAAGTATTCCCACTTTAGCTCGAGAAGAAAAACTCATTTTGGAAAAAGAAAATTCTATGCTTAATCTGGTTCACTATTTTTATCATAATGCCATAATGAATAATGCAATTATAATGCATGCATGTAATTAACAAGTGTTTATTGAACAATTACTATATAACACCTAAATTCAGCGATCCAATAATAAGTGGAATTTAAACATAGGATAGATAAGCAGAACAGTACTACTGTTTGATACATATGTACTTATGGGTACATTTTCTCAGTTATTCTTCACATTGTTTTTGTTTTATAGATTGGAAGACAAAGGCTTAAAGAAGTTTCATACTTGTCCAAAGTCACTGAACTAGTTAAGTGGCAGAACGAGACCTGCTTGATTTAAAAAATCCACTTGAGGTTATACCAAGCCAATTTAAGTGTTTTTTTTGTTTTTTTCTTTTAGCCAATTTAAGTTTTTACAAAAACTCCAAAGCAATCTGAAAAACATTATTAAGTAGGAAAGTAAAATTACAAAAATGTTTACTAGATTAAAATTACATAAAAAAATGTTGCATTCAGGCAGAATAAAAGGAAATCCTTGGGTTAATCCAGTTGATTACATTCTTTAAAATTTTACATAATACAATAAAAGGTATGGAAAAGAAATCAGTTTAAGTTGAATAGAAAAATTCTAACTCACATTTTTCATTATATAAATTGAACAGAAGAGTTCAGTATATGGTATGCTTGATACAGACATTAAAGATTTTCAAGAACTGCTTTGGTTATGATTAATCTGAGCTTTCACATCCTATGAAGTCAACTGTTTCAGTTGTCATCAGTATTCCAAATAACAAAACGTTATTAAATATGACCAATCTGAAAATATAACTGAATCTAAAACTTTAACTTTATACATTCAATTTTGCAAAAAGTGAAATAGCACGATCACTGAATATAAGTAAAATAATTACATAGTTTTTGTATGTTCTTTACCATATTCAGTGACTATGTATTAGATATTATGTTTTTATTTTCTTTTTTGTGGTACTGGGACTCAAACCAAGGACTTGTGTGTACTATGCAAGTGCTCTACCAAAGAACTACATCCCTAGCCCTTTAAAAATGTTTTATTTTGAGACATAGTCTTGCTAAATTGTCCATATTGGTCTTGAACTTGTGATACCTCTGCCTCAGCCTCCTGAACAGCTGAGATCATAGGCATAAGCACCACACCTAGCTTATTGTCTATATTTATGGCTTTCAACTTATTTTCCTACTTAAGACTATCAAATTCTGACTCACCTTCATTAATACAAAAACTTGGTTGTTAAAACATGAATTCCAATAATTTTTTTGAAAGCCTTAGGTTTGATTAGTAAAAAGAAATAAAATATCAAGAAGGAAGTTATCTAAATTTGAAATATTTTACAATATTAAGAAAAGTAATTTTATTAAACATTGGCAAAAAATTACTATATTTCTCCAATTTGTAAGATAGGTGGTGCCTAATATGCTAACTGGTTAGAAAAACCTACAAAATACTCTTTGGCTTTGTTAAATTACTACTGCTAGTAGAAAGTATTTGTATCTTTAAGAAACAAGCAACATTCTAAAGAAAATTTGTACTTACTTGATAATCATTTCTTTTAATATTTGGAACATCCATGTTGTGAGTAGAAGGGCAAATATCTTCGTATTTTTTCCCTGTGAAAATATCAATTCCAACAAGGTGTACCTAAAAGAGGAAAACAGGAAACCTGTTTAATCTCTGCCAAGTATGTCATTCATTACATACACAAGGGCACAATGCCAATGCTGATTAAGATAGATTCTTTCTCCTTTTTCCAAGGTCCTCTAATTTTACTTTCTTAAAAAAATGTGGTGATAGAATTGAGAGGCAGTAAACACTAAACAGTATTATGTCAAGACATTACAATATATAATTATGAGTAATTGTAAGAAAAATAAGGTAAGTTGCTTAGAACTGTTAGAATAGGTTTTCTCAATTGTGATTGAATAGAACTTTTAGGTAACCAAGATTCAAGAAAGTTTCAATGCCCAGTTAATAAAACATAAAGGTGCAAAACCATTTAGTAAATGAAGGAAAAAAAATGTCATTACAAAATTTATAGAACTCTCATGATCTGTAACGTAATATAAATGATCAAAATCTCAATGATTAATCCAAAGAATGACTTAGAAGGACACTTACTTTGGCATGACCGTGCTTTCCAGTTTTGGAAGTTGACATCTCCACTATTTTGCAGGGTCGTCCTTTGAGCACCACGAAGCCGTTTTTGCGCAGGGCCGAGCACTGCATAGGGTAAGTGCTGGAAGCACCGGCATCACCAGTAGTGAAATCAATTTCGTCCGCCATGGTGGGCTGGGGAGATGGTTAATTTTTCCGTGGGAACTATGCAAAAAGTTTTAGTTTGCTTTTTAACAAGGGGGTACGAGAGAAGGGTAATGTCTCATTTCAGGCAGGTTAGGTGCCAAGCATCACGGCCTGTTATTTTTCCATTTATATAAATAACACCCACTCAAGACTAGTGGGCCCTAACTCTTGTCCTCTACAAACTTTTCCAAGCATCGGTGGGGTGGCAGGAAGGGAAGCCGCAGAGCAGCTGGCTGGGGTGGGGAGACACCCGCGCTGGGGACAGCAGGTCGCGGTGCCCATCGCCCTACTGCACAAGCCCGCGACCTTCCCGTACCGCGCCGTGGGGCCCTCCGCCGCCGCCCTGCTCCCACCGCGGGGGCCCAGCCCAGGCCGCACGTCCCCGCCCGGGTGTGGGCAATCGGGCCGGCCAGCAGCACTGGCCATCGGGCAGCGGCACGCACTCCGCCCTGCACTCGCAGTGCCGCCGCCCGGCAGCACCGCGCCCCCGGTACTGCTGACATCCCCGGGCCGGCTCGGCTCGGCCCAGCACTGCAAGGGCCTGACTGAGCCCCGGCGGTCCCGCGCTCGCCTCCCTTCTCCCGTCCATCTTTCCTCCTTGCCTCTATCAGCGCTCAGCTCTGGCCACCCGCCTCAGCCCTGCCTGGTCCAGTCCCAGCCCCGCCAGCTTTTCCCCAGATCTTCACCTTTTAGTTGGCTCACAGCGTCTTTCGCCTGCTTAGCCGCGCCGGTCCCCAGCAGCTGCTGCGGCGGCGGCGGTGGCGGCCGCAGCAGCTCCAAGAGACAGGGCGGGGCCGCCACACTTTCCACACCCCGGCCACCCCACTTTTTCCCGCCCCCACCCCAGCCCCACTTCCGGGATAGGCCCCGGCGCGTCACAGGCACCGCCCTCCAGGGCTACCATTGGCTACAAGGTACCCGAGGCCCCGCCCAGTCACGTGAAGAGCGCCCTGGCAACCCCACGTGCTGTGGATTAGTGCATTTCCGGCGTGAAGTGTCTTTTGAGGAGTGTGGCTGCTGAGGAAAAACTCGCCGGCGAGGCGGCCCGCTCTCTTCACAGTTAGTTCGGGCCCTGGGCGACGTTAATGGGAATCTACCAAGCACGCAGTGGCCCCTGCCCTCAGGTGCGTGGTAGTTGTCACGTGATGGTTTTCAGAACTCGGGACTCGCGCGAATTCTCCGAGTGGCCCGCGAGGCTGTGGAGGGAACTTAGCGTTCGAGCTTCGGGTTCAGCGTGTAACCCTCCTTGGGGTTGAAACCCATGCGTGTTCCTAAGAGAGCACAGGTGCAGCATTTTACTAACGGGCGCCGAATCGTGAGCTCCATGCATGAGAGCTGTCCACTCCATGGTGACATTTTGGCGGCGACTGGCAGCATGTGGCCCTCCGGTCAGTAGTGTTTTCCAGCAGTAAAATGACCTAACCCAGTCCTCACAACAGAGGCTGTGCCGAGGTTGTGGAGGAAGATGGTTTCCCACCCAGAAAGGTCCGCGACTCAGTCTTTCTATCCTGGCATTGGCATTCCTTCGAATTTGGGTTTGTTCATACATGTTAGAGATGTTGGGTTGACTTCAGAATTGACCCAGAGCCTATAGACTAGAGCCATTTTTCTGTTATTATTAGAATGATTGCAAATATTTAAGGAAGAATTACTTAGAGTGTACTAAATGTTTCATCTGCATAATATAATCTTGACTGGTAACGTTTAAACTTTTATTTGTATAAAATAAAATTTATTTTTACTGTGGACAGTTTTTTTAAAACATGAAATTATATAACCACCACTATAATCAAGGTACAGAATATTTTCTTCATTCCAAGGGTTTCTGATGCCATTTTGTGATCTGTATTGTTGCCCACCATCCACCCCTCATACTCAGACCTTGACAACCGTCAGCAACTACTGTTTTACCTGCATTTTGAGTTATGGAAAAAGGAAAAGTTAAGTAAGATTTGGATTTAGAATACAATGATTGAGCCTTATTCATTCAACAAATATAACCTATTCTTCTGAAGTTGATGAATTAGTGAATACTGAGCCATTGCTTCTTTGGGGACATACAGGGTGAGATTTCTGTGAGCCTCTGATCACAACAGTTTGATTAACTAGTCAAGATATTGTTCTATGTACGTTTTTCTTTAAAGATACCTTAATATATTTTGAACTCATTGCCAACCACACTAAAATTCATGCCTTCAGGTAACTTACATTCACACATTTTCTCTATAAGGCACACTATAGCCTTTTTGTACTTTGGAACACTAGACAGCTTTTCAGGATGATGCTTGGGTCCATTTAAAGCAATGAATTCAAAAGCCATAAAAATGCAATAATTGGGAGTAAATAGACTGGAAAGAACACTTCTTTACGTCTTGACAGCTCAGATGATATTAAAGCAGAGCACTGCCACGTTTGACCTGAGCTAAGAAAATGTACGTTGGATGACTCAAATCTCTGTACATGTTCACAAGTGACCTAGAGAGTATGATAGCACAATATTGATTTTGGGGTTAAAAGAATATTTTATTATGTATGCAAATTGCCAAATACAGAATCCAAAAAATAAGGATAGACTGTATTTATTTTAGCACTCTTACCTCTGGAATCACCATATCAGTCAAGACAGTCCTTTGTTTATAAGGTGTTTTAGAGTATAGTGCAGGAGATAGCCTAGCAATTTTAAAAGATAAATGCTACTAAATAACTAGAACTCTGAAAACAAGCTTCCCCTCTTATAGTATCTGACCACATAAAACCACATAAAGTTAAACAGTTAAAAAAAAATAAGGCAATGGTCATGGAATGTACAGTGCATGTGGGTGGTGCATGCCTTATTCTAATTCACCAGTTTGCTTCTCCTGATTGGTTGTTCCTTTAGAAACTTGCATTTTCTCTTGCATTTCTTTCTATCTGCTTCATTTTTGATGTACCAAATTTCTCAATCTTCGCCATACTGAGTTTGTCAGACATGGTTGTGGAGAACGTAGTGTGAAATGCATGAGTAAGAAGAGTGGTGTTCCAGTGGCCAACACCAGCTCCTTTTTTACCCCTAGTGTTGGAGATTGAACTCTGGGCTGTACACATGCTAGACAAGTGCTGTACCACTGAGCTATATGCACAGCCCTCTGCATTTTCGACTAAGTTGTCACCTCCTTACTAAGAAACTGTTTTCTGCAGTTTAATTTATTATCTGCCATCAACAATGGTTGAAAATGCTGAATGGGAAATTCTAGAAATAAATAAGTCTTAAGTTTGAACTACATGCTGCTTTGAGTAGTGTGATGAAATCTAACACTATTGTCCTCTGTCTCATCCAGGACATGAGTCATCCTTTATCCAGTGTATATATGCTGTATACACTATCCACTTGTCAGCAGCTATCATGGTTATCAGATCAATTGTTGTGGTATCACAGTGCATATGTTCAAGTAATCTTTATTTAATTATAGCCCCAAAACACGAGAATAATGATGCTTTTAATTTCAGTAGGCCAAAAAGCTAGAATACTTTCTTTAAATGAAAAGGCGTGAGTTCTTGATAACAAGGAAAGAAAAAAAATGTATATTGAGGTTGCTAAGATCTATAGTAAGAAATATTTATGAAAATTTGAAGAAGAGAAAAGAAACTCATGCTAGCTTTGCAAACTGCAAAATTTATGACCACAGTGCATGGTAAGTGTTTAGCCATGATGAAAATGTTATTAAAATTATAGGCTTTGGTACTATCTGTAGTTTCAGGCATTCACTGGCTGGGAGTACTATATATAAATTGAGACATGCCTGTAATTCTCTTTGTGACCAGACTTTTGCTTCTAGATAGTTTAATTTTGGTTCAATTTCTATTCTCCAAATTGGGGTTGTATTCTGACCTAAGTAACAATGAAGGGTGGGAAATAAGGGAATTGTTGCCTTCTTTCTCAGGGAGTGATAATTTCCTCAAAAAAGGCAGAAGCAGTTGCATTTGCTTTAGACAAGAGAAATGTTCCTAGACAGTTATGTGCTATTGATAGTATTTTCAGAAGATTTGAAGATTTAAAGTACTCAATTCAGATATCCTCGTTCTTTTTGTAGGGTCTTTTTATGTTAATTGCCTAAGGTTTACCAGTGTGACTGGTGACTCCAGTAATCCATAAACTCAAAATCCTAAATTTCTCTCAAAGTAAGTTAGCCTTTTAATCATGATATTTCTTGTTTTAAGGTAGACTGTAATGATTATACTTATTCAGATGGCCATCTGAAATAGGCATCCCATTCCCAAGGTTCTAGAACTTTTCTCACTCTGTAAATTTTAAAAATTGTTTCATGGTAGCAGGTACCAGTTTCCTTCAACTAATGCTTTTGTTTTCAGTCAGCATGTGGCCCAGGAAATAATCTGTTTCACCACTGTATAACATAAACTATTATATCCTGTTTTTGTAATGTGAACTAGAATATGTTATTGTCTTCCACCCCATCTTGGCTCTATATAGTTGTTTTTTTTCCTTGCGGTACTGAGTATTGAACCCTGAAGCACTCTACCACTGAACTCTGTAGTTCTTTTTAAAATTTTTATTTTGAGACAAGATCTTGCTCAGTTGCTCAGGCTAGCCTTGAACTTGTGATCCTCTTGCCTCGACCTCTGACACTGCTGTGATTACAGGTGTGACACCACACCTGGCTTCATGTATAATTCTTAATAACCATATTTGTAAGATAATGTATGACCTTAACTGTGGTAGATTACTGAAGGTTCTTTACTTGTAAACAGAAATCCCCCAGCTTTCACCCCATCCAGCTTTTTAAAAGTTAAACAAAAATGGAACTCAATAGAATAGTAACAACAATTGAGGGAAAAAAGCATTTATAGAAATTCATTAAGCAGATACCTCAGTCATTGGAACAAAGAAGTTCAATTTGGGATGACTTAATTGTTTCTTTAGTGGAAGTCTTAGTTTTCCATTACTATAATTAAATACTTGAGGCTGAGTAATTTATAAAGAAAAATGAATTATTCAGCACACAATTTTAGAGGCTGAAAGTCCAAACAGCATAGGACTAGGTCTGGCAAGAGTCCCTCTGATGACATCACAATCATGGGAACTGGTGCAAGAGGGAGAGATCATATGGAAAGATCAGGTAGCTAGAGTAAGAGTAGGGATGAAGCTTACCCTCCCTCCCTGTCTATCTGTCTTTCTTTCATATTCATTCATTCATTCATTTTTTTGGTGACAACCCTGTTCAAGAAATAACTTATGGTTCCAAAGAAACTACTTTAATCTCTTCTGGGGGCATAGTTCTAGTGACCTGAGGATGTTTCACTAGGCCCCAACTTATAAGGGTCCTGTCTTCTATTAACATCATTACATGGAGGACTAAAGTTCCAACACATGAACCTTTGAGAAACACATTTAAACTATATCCAAACCATAGTGGTGGGCAAATGTGTTTTAACCTTGATATTTTACATTAAATAATTGCTATTGATTTTATTTTGAATTATCATACTGAAGATAATTTAGCATATTAAAGATAAGCCTTGACATTCCAAATTAAAGATGTATAATTGGGTGACTGAGTGAAATTTATGGTTTTAAATTGAAATCTGAAATTGTAAATAGTATTGGAGGCTTGGGATGTAGCTTGGTGGTAGAACATTTGCCTACCATGTACAAGGACTTGGGTCTTTTCACTGGCATTGTAATAATAATAATCACAATACTGAAATATTTAGAAGAAAAATACAGACCGTATTTATAAATTAAATTTATTAAATTTATAAGAACTACATTCATACTTTTAAAAGGTCTTTCTTGTTAGACTATTAATGTGCTTAAAAAGAAAACTAAATGTATTCAACTTTGAA